AATAATTATCGAGTTCCAACAAAATAAATAATTATTATCTTTATAAAAAAATTATATTATTAAAACAAATATAAATTATTTCGTTATTGTACATAAATTAAATTATAAAAAAATTGAATTAAAAAATTACACAAAAAAATGAAGAATTTTAAATAGTTAATTTGATACTAATATCGATGTATTTTTGTTAAATTTTTATGACATATTCAAACATATATTTTATTCAAAAATAAAAACATCATCGCTTTCTCAAAATCACATAAAGCCATATTATAACATCGACTGAGATAACGAATAGAATGAAATATTAAAATCACGATGTATCTCGCTGCATTGCACGGGTACGCTTCTAATATATAAAAATACATATATGTTCAATTATGTTTGTGGGTTTTTTTTGGAAGTTAAGAAAAGTTGGGATAAGATATTTGTGGTTACTTGGTTGGGCTCGAATAAAGCTGAAACAGAAGAAGATAAAAATAAATTATTATGTGATTTTTATCTGATAATCATTGTTGTTCTAAAGTCTTTATTTCTTTGTGAATTCAATGTGGGTTTTATTTTAAAAACATTATTTGATTTCTTTTTGGTGAAAGAACCTTATAGTTTTCTGTTTTCATACGTGGGATGTTCTAAATTGGTTATATGTTATTTTTAGTATGAGTTTGGATTTTAATATGTTATTATTCAACTGGTTGGAATAAGGATGACATAATCAATAAAGATGTATTTTGAGATAAATGTGACATAACCAAAAGAAGTGTATTATGGGATAAGAGTGGCATAACCAGAAGAGGTGTATTGTGAAATAAGGATGACATAATCATGAGAGACGTATACTGGATAAGGGTGGCAAAATCATCTGTATGTTAATGTGATAATCAAGTTTATCGGTTATAAAGTTCGGAGTTATTTATTATTAATGGCAGAAAGTCGAGGGGGTTATTTTAATTATGTGCTTAAATATTTTTAGATTATCCACTGCCTCATATTTTTTTAAAGACATATTATTATGAGATATTTTGTCTATCTCATGGGGATTGTAAAAAGGAAATAAGGAAAAAAAAACAAAAGGAATTTAGAGTGTGTGTTTGTGTTTTGAGCCCGAGAAAAGAGAAACCGAAAAGAAAGGAAAAAAGAAGTTGATTATGTGATTTTTAATTTGAATAATTGTTGTTGTTTATCTGCATCTCTCTATGAATCAAGGTGAGTTTTAATTTAGAAATTTTCATCTTACAATGTTAAAAAGAGAACCGTATGGTTCTTTATGTGGGGAGTTTTGAAACTGTTATTATGTTACTGTTAGCATAATTTTATATTTTGATATGTTAATATCAAATGATTGGAATAAGAATCGCATAATCAAGAGATACGTATTTTGGGATGACATAATCAACTGAATGTGAAAACTAGGATTTTTGGATCATAGAAAACTGTTATCGCATCTTTATGATGCAATGACTTCGAGTTATCGCATCTTCATGATGCGATGACCTTGGTTATCGTATCCTATTGATGCTATGAGTTGATTTTATCGCATCATTGTGATGCGAGAAGGGTGTTTGTCGCATCATTGTGATGTGACAAGTTGAGTTTTAGCATCCTATGGATGCGATAAGATGTGTTTATCGCATATATTGAATGCGATGAAATAGGTTATCGCACCTGTGTGATGCGAAGAAATAGGGTTGTCCACCCTTGTGATGCGAGAAAATTATGATTTTATCTATATAATGTGATAAGTTTATGTATAATACGATAAATGCGTTACTTTATTGTTTGATGCGATAAGTGGGTGTTGTCTCGTTATGCGATGCGACAAAAGAGGTTTGTTTAAGTACGACCCGTTAGAAATTTGAACAGACGGATCCATGTTGCTTCTCTCAATTACGACCCGTTAGAAATTTGCTCGGGATTTTCATTTGTGTGCAAGTAAAATCTTTCGAGACGTTCAGAAGCCTTCTTGACCTACAATAGACCAAACAAAATTCCCATTCATACGTTAAGAAGCATAAAGAAATCTAAAGCGATATGAATAATTTGATTCATATTTGTATAAATTTACCTGATCATCCCAATCTGTTCTCCACGTTATGTAACCAATTGTGATTGTTTGTGTTAGAACGCCAAAAATCATTCCTATCCATATACCCTGTCAAATAATACAGTTTTTATCATAGAAAATCCCGACCATGATAGCTTCCGTTGTGGAAAACACGTAGTATTCATGTACCTTAACTTGAAGAGTCGTCAAATATCCAAGCAAAGCTCCCAACGGGATACCAATCACGTAAAAGCAAACTAGGTTAACAATTGCTACGACACCCTGCAAACCAGCTCCAATTGCCACTCCTGATGACGAGATTTTTTCAAATCATGAACACTACCATGTAAACTTTCCCGAAATAGAAACCAACAAGATCTTTGAGATACCTGAGAGTACCGGATAGATGCTATTGAACAAAATCGAAAAAGAGAGAAGCAAAGAAAGATCTGATATYGTATCTGCAACTCTTTCRTCGTCTGTAAACAAGTATGCAAGTTTATTGCCGAACGCCAAACARAGAACAAATAAGAACACGCCAATCGCRAGGGAAGTCCCCAGCAACACCTTTATCGAAAACTTTAYTGCTTTCGCATTTCCTCTCCCYAATTCATTCGCCACCCGAACACTTTRTATRTTTTGTAGTTAGAACACAAKGTTAGCRGTCACAWATACAAMACGAAAAAYGAGAGCGARAAGTCTATAAGAAATCATCGATCACATACCATGCSGAACCTAGGAAACCAAGGCTTATCATGARCTCCCATGAATTCATGTTCAAGCTGCAAAAATGTCGCAAGAAACAAGCTTTAGTTTCTCCTAAAAAGAGTCGGAAATGGTGAAACRGGAACACGAGTTTGATACCAAATGGCGAAKGCAGATATCGCGATCTTGGCATCTGGCATGTATCCAGCAAGTAAGACTAGAATAGCATAGTACCATAACTCCAAGCTACACATTAACAACAATGGTTAAACTAAACTTTGACTTTTCAAGTCAAAACAACAGTTTTTGAGCTTCGAAATAACGTTCGTTTCGGTAAATTTTTCAGAAACTAGTAATAATCGCATTAATATTTTAAAATTACTGCCTTAATCAGAAGCATTTTAAGTGTTTTCGTGAAGAATAGTGCATGGATTATGAGTTCAAAAACCAATGTTTTGACCTCAAAAAGTCAAAAGTGTAATTGACCTGTATTTTGTTTAAGTACTTACCATAGCATCACACCAGAAGAAATTGAGAGCTTGACAACAGGTAACAAGTCCTTAAATGCTGCAAGTGTGAATCCTTTCCATGAATGTGGACACCACCCTCCAAAAATGTATATGAATTCGCCAATCACAAGAAACCATGAAGACAACGAGAGTGCAATCATCGCACCCGCGAGCCCCATGCTCAATTTATACACAAGAAGCAACGATAAAGGTATATGGATTGCAAATTGAAATGCCGAAAGCCATGCGATAATCATGTTTTTTAACTGTGCTTGTAGAAACATTTGGATAGTCAAGCTAAAGAYGTAGTTGTAGAYGWAGGGRATGAACCATAACGATAYGTATCCGCCACTATTTGCTATCTGTTCTTCCTCGCCRACAAGTTTGAAGATTTGGGTACCAAAKATGAAGATCGGGAGCAAGACGGTCAAAGTAATCAAGTCGACGATCCATGATCGTTGCAAGTAAATGCCCATCATATTGTTTTGTCCGGCTCCAAATGCTTGTCCGCAAAGGGTTTCGGTTGCGCTTGACATTCCCAACTGTYGATAAAATTCAAATTAGAAGGAACTTTAATCGTCCATTCCCGTTGGACTGAAAGTGTTTATGACGGATTATACTCGTTCATAGTAAATTACTGTACTGGTTGAGAGGGAGAAAGAAGCAAAAACTTAGTGGTCCCCATTTATCCACTAGTGTTGCATCTCTCTCACTCCCTATATATTGCACATATAAAGTTGATTAATTTTACTGATTATTTCGTTAACAATAACTGAACAATTATAGACTACTTACAAGTATTCCATTAACAAATCGAACACTGAGCGTTTGAACAAGCGCATATCCAGCAAGATCAGTCTCACTTATATGTCCAATAAATGATTGAGTGACGACAAGGGTTCCAAATGCACAAACTCTAGATATAACGGTAGGCAACGCAACCCTCCATATTTTTTTCGACTCGACCCATATCCTCTGTTTCAAGTCACCGTCCTCTTGTTCTTCTTGTAGCAGAAGCTTTGTTTTGATTTCGTCATCCATCCTAAGAACCGAGAGATTATAAACGTAAAATGAGATTATAGAGTAATTCCTCAAAAGATATCGTTGTATTGAACGTGAACCCATAAAATGTACCTTTCACTAATCAAACCCACCTAAACAAATTATGCCTCTACTCAAAATATTTAATGAATTTTATAACAAAAAAAAATGGGTTACAAACAAACATTAAGATTTGTTTTATTAATTAGGGACATTTTATAAATATTTTTAGATAGGCTATTATGATACAACTCCAATCGACCGCCAAATTGGAATGTACTAGTATTAAACTAATGTATTTATATAATTATTTATATTTATATATTATAAGATTAAAAATAAATTCTTTTATATTTTTAAATTGCAAATCAAATGTAATTAATAAGGTTACGGTATATTGATTAAGTATCAAAGGAAGTAGTAGAACATCCTATCTATTTTGGGTTCGAATCCCGGTGTTGTCAAAGTCTTCGGGATCGTGTAGGTTCACATGCGATGAATCCAAGCCATTCGTAGTCGTCTTGGAAATTAGTCAATCTTTGTAAGCTATCCCAGACACTCATGATTACAATATATATATATATATATATATATATATATATATATATAGAGGAGTGATCGTATGAAAACCGCCCTCATTTGTATAAACCGTGCAAACCACCTTCATCTGTCGATTTCATTGTTTAATCTTATGAAATTTTTTCATAAAATTGTTTAATCTTGTGAAATTGTTTCATATAATACTTTTTTTGATGAAGTTGTTTCATATATGGTTGTGAAATTATTTCATATAATACTTAATGAAACT